TTATTGAAATATTTGTTGCAAATAGTCAGAAAAAAAAATGTTGTTATGACAAAAAATGACGTATGCTCTAATACAGAGGTAAAAGAGAGAATATAGAAGAAAAATATAAGCAATAAGAGATACTATATTAAATAATAAGAAAGATGCTCTTCTCAGAGACATAATTCATGTGTAAAAGCGAAGTGATGGTAACGTAGAGGCAATCACCGCCAGAAAGTCTTTTGACAAGTAACACGACTATCTGCTGGCCCTATCTAAAGATACTTGAGGGAATGATTTTCGTCATTTTTTTTCTTATTTGTGCTTCTATCATATTTTGTTGATAAATAACACCTTCTTTCTGAAGACTCACGTATGAACAATAGTGTAAAGTTGAAAAATACCACGAAAGAATTATTAATTACGTAAGATACAAATACCCATAAATATTTTCTTACAGAGTGTTCGTTTCAATCCTAAACTATTTTTGTAATGAAATTGACACAAACTTAACTTTAAGCTGAATTTAAATATTATGTTTGTCATAGAAACAATTACTAAGCTTTGAGCTAAGTCGATTGATATTTTAATAGCATTTAATCGGCAAATTTTTGCTCTGGAATAATATGAAAAAGCGTCACAGTTATTCATTGGTTGAAATTCTACTGTTGTCTAATGCAGTTCAATATTTGTTTTGATTTAGTAACTAACACTTATTTTTCAATTTTCAAAACGTTTTGTTGATGAAACAAAATATTCATTTGCTTTCCGATTATAATAATAAACTCCTATTGGATAATTTCTTTTTGTGTTTGTGATTCTTTCTGGTTTATTTGTATTTGACTTTATATGCTCTCTGTTCTTTTCTTTGCATTGACGGAATTTTCCAACCTTCCTTTTCTTGGTGGTACATATAGATATCACGTTTTATTCTTTTCTCTTCCTAGAACCAGTTACTTCTGGCAGTTCTCTTATATATAGTAGTCGTAGAAGGTCTTGTTACCCGATAAAAAGCACTTAAGCTTTAATGTCTTTAGTTTCATTGTTTGACGACAAGGTTGGATGTGTTGATGGTGAATACCCTTCTCTAATGAACACTTCTTTCGAAATTTCAGGATCGCAACTGTCAATGGACAAATGACTCGTGCTGAAGCCATTACATATGATGGGAAATTTTCCTCGTCTCAAGATTACAGCGAATTGAAGTGCCCTAACTGTGACACAATATACACATAGAAATATTTATTTGTTAATAAGAAAATGAAGGCTAACGCATTTAAATACCGGACAATCAGACAAGTGTCCAAAAAAGTCTTCCGTGGGCCCTAGGTAAGAAACTGATACCTTTGTTGTAGATATTTTGTATTAAGATCTATCGACTTCGGATTCCTTCTTTACAACCGAGTCGTATTAGTACTGAAAATATCAGGTAAAGGAATTGAAGTTGAGGCGCTTTTTACGAGATATGTTCAGATTTCTGTAAGAAGAAATTTCTTTGATATCAATGGAAGACATACATCTGAGTAGTTACAAAAATTTCAGCAATTAAGATTCCATGGGAAAGAAATTTTCGAATTTTTACATAACTTTCAAGAAAACTTCCTGGAAGCTTCCGAAAATACCTTCACATAATAGAGAATTTTTCGGAAATTTTCGGTAATTATCTAGAAATTTTAGTAATGACGGAAATTTCCATAATATTATAATATAGTATGTATAAAGTCACCTCTGTAAGAGAAGAATCATCAGTTTTTATCGATTGGTCGGTCTTGATCATAAGCGTGTGAATAATGTAAAACCATGTACTGAAAAATAATTCGAATCAGTTGTTGTTATTTTATGTTTATGTGGGTTCTATTATGTGTCGTTGTCTCATTTCTCTTATCACACTTAACTTTATTTCTCCATTCTGTTAAAATGTCATAGATTTTTTCCCTCTTTTTTGTTTAATGATAAGTTTTTTCCCTGTTTGTTTTCTTTTAGGAATTTTTCACTGACACATTGAAATATTATGGTATTTAAGTTGTTAGTCAAACACCTGTATTCAATTGTTGATTTTCACGTCTATTAAACTCTGTGTATGTATGTGTTTCGGTTACATTCATCTTTAGTTATTACCTAGTAGAATTAATGGCATTTCTAATCGAAACAACTTTACAATATGTTTAACACTATGAATCTATTTTGCCGCAATGATTTTTATCAATGAACTAGTATCCATTTTTGGAAAGAAGGCGGTCCGAGAAAATGGCTATAACTTTTGAAAAGAACATGATATAGACCCGCGGTTTTCACCATCGGATAGAGCGTCGCAGGGCACGTAATAGTTCCAAATATCAGAACTACACATAAAATTTTACATAGTAAATATTTCTCTACAATATTCTCGATGCTCTTGTTCCGTAATAGTACGACGAGTTTTGATTTTTAAATAGTGAAATCGATAGCCCAGATCAAGATCTAAAACTCTAGAGCAACTCCAGATCTTTATCTTATACAGTTCAAAAGTTGTATATGTTCTCTGGTAATGGCTTATTTCAAAAACTAGATACTAGATCTTGATCTGGGCTATCGATTTCACTATTTGAAAATCAAAACTCGTCGTACTATTGCGGAACAAGAGCATCGCGAATATTGTAGAGAAATATTTACTATGTAAAATTTTATGTGTAGTTCTGATATTTGGAACTATTACGTGCCTTGCGACGTTCTATCCGATGGTGAAAACCGCGGATCTATATCATGTTCTTTTCAAAAGTTATAGCCATTTTCTCGGACCGCCTTCTTTCCAAAAATGGATACTAGTTATCAACAAAATGATGCTACATCAACATCGTTGTATTTCTAACAAGCAAGAGTATAACTGAATATTGCTTCCATATGATTTCAACCGCGCAACATTCGTCGATATAATGTGCGTTATACCGACATTCTGTCGCATTATACTGATAGTTGTTCTGGGACCGGAACTCTATTGTCGGTATACCGAGGATATTGTGAACAAACATACATTTTGGACTATTATTTCTAAGTACTGTTATTTGATAAGGTATCAGAATTGAAAGCCAAATATTGCGCCTTCAAAACTAAAGATGCATTGAGAATAGAGACCTAAATCAACCGATGAAACTACTGTTACTTCTTATATAGGCATTGGTTTACAATTTTACTTGAGAAATACCTTCGATAGTATGCAAACCAATGAGATAATATGTAACCGTCTGTATTTAAATATTTTAACTATGATAATGTATCTGTTTTTTTAGTATAAAAATGTAAGACACTTTTTCCTGCTTTTACAGGATTTTGTCAATGATAGTAGACATGCGAACTATATCTCATTTGCTGCCTCTTCTTCTATTTTGAGTACCGAGTTATGCTCTTGAGTAAACCTATCATTCTCTTTGAGTCTTTTTCGCATGTTAATTATTTCAATATTTCGATCCCATCCCCGAAACCGAAAATTTTAGTCATTTAAAAATTTATAATTCGGCCACTTAACTGTGGAGTCTGAATGAAACTAATAGAATTTTTGCGAAATCTAGTCAAAAGTCTATAGTCAAGAAATAATAATCTGTCAGTCCTATAAAATATTCATGACAAAGTGAATATTCAGTGACATCTTCTAAACAAGTACTCTTCTTAACGCTTAAATTTTTTTTCCTTATTATTACCTTATGCTTTTGTTCAATATACTCTTTTTTTCTATTTTAAGATTGCAAAAGATAGATGTCACTAGTATGCAATATTCGTCAAAATTGAAAAATCATAAGCCAATTCGAATGCATCTGTAAAATTTTTCATGTTTTTTTACCTCTTTGTGATACGCTGTAAAAAAATCCATGTTTTTTATTTCAGTACGACTATGATGCTTGGCCAAAAACTACGAGCCAGAAACAGTCCAATCAAGTTATATTTAAATTGAAAAGCCAATCATATTTTTATCATGCTTTTTAAAGATAGGATAATAATTTAATCTAAATTTACTTCATCGAAATTTTTAATTCTTTTTTCGAATTGACTATTTTGATAACACTCCAAGAGCAAACAGTTGTCAACTTCCTAGGAAATTGTACAAATTACAAAAATATTGTGATGTTCATTTTGTGAATTATTTTGCACTTTGTACAGAAACTTTACATTATTCTTTTATATATTTTTTTTTCATGAGACATAGTTCTACGCAGTTTCGGTAAGTTAACTATGTCGTTCACTTGAAACTTATCCTTAGTTAATGATGAGCCGCCCAGCAATTTTAAAATTTGCGAAAACTCATGTAAATGAAACAATGGTTATGAAACCTATGCGAAAATAGATCTCTACTGCAATCTACTAGACTCTTCGGTTATTCTTCTGTGACTTTGTATTTTCTTTCGTAACATTTCGTTTCTTACGAACCTCTTACGGTCCATCACTACTCTGAGTACTTCAAAATTCGATGGCGTAATGTGCGTTGTTCATAATCTGTACTATTGTTAAGAAGCCACGAGCACTAAAGAGTCTGTTCTGTATTGTATTCTCTTGTTCGATCGATTTCATATTGCAAGTTGGCTATAAATAAGTTGCTCAGATTTTATATGAAGACATTGCTCTATTAAATAAAGTGTTTGAATCTTATGTTTTATGAAAATATCTTGTTTTAGATATATCTAAAAATGCTTAACAACGTGTAAGTGTTTAATGGTCGACAAAAACAACTCTCACCAAAGAAACGAATGTGATTCAAGTCTTTCTATATCTCCGTACCCGAAATGCGGCTATGAAGTCGATGGCATAGACGATATTAATTCAAGATTTAAATGCATATTTTGTTCACTTATTATTCAAGATCCGATTCAGTTAACACAATGTGGTCATCGATCTTGTCGAGGTTGTTTTGAAATTCGAGCTACATCCGTAGATGATGAGAATGTTACATGTCCATGTGAGGATTGTCATGAAATCACAAATAAAAATCAAGTAGAAAAGATTTTTAGAAGACTTTTGAATAATTTTATGTTATCTAATTTTCTATGAAGATTATGCCTGATAGAGCATTCAAAAAAGAATTAGATGTTCTTCCAGTTGTTTGTATGTATCGAAACGATAAACAATGTAATTGGACAGGACAACTCAAAACCTACCAAGTATATAAATATTACTTTTCTTGTACATGTATATTGATTTGTTAGAGTTTCTTTTCTTTTCTTTCATTTTTGCTTTAGTCACATCTCGATGAAGTTCATGTTCATTATATTTGTCCTCAATGTAATGAACGTTTTGCTTCACAGGCAATACTTAATGAACATATAACAAAAACTTGTCCGATGATATTTCAATCATGTCCTTTGGCACCATTCTGCGCTGAAGAAATGGTAAAGAAAATAATTTTTTTTTGGTTTGAAAATAATTTTATTATTTCTATTTGTTTAATATAAGATTCCTAAAACTAATTATTTAACCCATTTATTAACTGAAAAACATCAAGACACTGTAAATAAATTTTTAATCAGTGAATACCGTTTTCCTGAACCATCTACTAATGAACACGACGTAGAATTAACTACAATAAATAAAGAATTAGAAGAAAAAACTTCAGAAAAAATCAATGATCTATCAAAAAAAATTCAAGAAGTAAACAATGAATCAGTAAAATTAAATAATGAATTTACTCATTTAAATGAACGTTTAAATACATTAGTACAAGAATTAAATAATTTTCATATAACAATCAATGAAAAAACACCAATTAAACAAAGTATACAACCAAATCAAGAAAAATTACAAAAAGATATTGATCAATTACAACAAAGATGTCAAAATAATGAACATACATCAACTGATGGTACATTAACATGGCGTATTGAACGTGTTTCAGAAAAAATAGCAGATGCACAATCAGAACGACAAACAAGTATATTATCTCCAATATTTTATTCATCACCAACTGGTTATAAAATGCGTGCAAGACTATTTTTATTCGGTGATGGAAATGCAAGACGTACTCATGTGTCTTTATTTTTTTCATTAATGAAAGGAGAATATGATGCGGTACTTAAATGGCCGTTTCATTATAAAGTGACATTCTGTTTGCTTGATCAAACAGGTAATAATCGTCATATAATTGATTCATTTTATCCTGATGTTAAATCAAGTTCATTTCAACGTCCAAAAGATGAAGCTAATATAGCAAGTGGTATACCGAAATTTTTTCCATTACCTATGTTATTACAAGATGACAATGGATATGTTCGAGAAGATACAATCTATATTAAAATTATTATTGCACTTAATGAAACACCCAAAATGATGTTACCATTTATGTTAACGCTTAATCCAGCTCTTCCAAGTTATGTACAAGAAAATTTAATTAATCAAGAAATTGCTAAACGACAACAACAACAGCAGGCGACCGTTAGTAATAACTCTCAAACGACGCCGATGAATACTTGAAAACGAATATTCGATGTACTTCTGTACAAAGCAGAACTATATTATTATTTTTTCCTCCAAAAAACTGTCATATGAATCAAGACAGGACACGACATAGATAGTACAAAGAATGAAAACTTGTATTACTTATGCTTCGATTTGTTGAAATGAACTAATCGTGTAGTTCATATAAAAATTTATTTGAATTTGTCTTTTTTTGTATATGAATAGTGTAAACAATTACTATCCTGAAGTCCTCTTTTTGACAACATACAAGAGTTTTGATCTATTGTCAAATAAAAAAATATCTGCAGGCAGTACTCCAAGATAGTTTTCAATTGTTATCTAAAAGAATCAATATAAACTTTATACATGTTATTACATTGATGCATTTGAAGAGATTTTTTTAGCATTAATAAAATCAATAGTTATAATAGTTCGAATTTTCAAGCATGAACAGGATTCTCGATAGGAGAAAAGAAGGCTTTCTCCTTTCCAAAGTGTTAGAGTTTCTGTGAAAACTCTTTATAGTTTTTGTCAATTTTTTATACTTTGACGATAGTTTTGGATAGAAACCAGAGTTTGCCACATCATTTGCCTTTTTGAGTTCTGCAGGCAAAAATTTTTTCTTAACCTATAACTAACCCTAACATGTTTATGTTTTGACAACTGTAAACATGAAATTTTCTTTGCTATGTTTCAGCATGCTTTATTGGTTTTTCACGATAATTAAATACAAAATTATCATATATTTCAAAAATTTCATAAGAATAGAACGTCATTAACGATGTGGCTACTCAATTCTATCTTATCTCTTTCGAAAATCTTCTGTTTGCACTGAGGAAAGTATGGGTGCTAGTCAAAGGACATCCACACTCACATGATTTCAATAGCGAGGTATTTTTTTTACAAGGAACGGACATCTATTCTAGGTAGCTCAATATTTTAATTGAAAAATTAATTAGTTACTACTTTCCATCATTTCACTGTTCATACATATTTTGTTCTTGGAAAATTAATAGCTATTAAAATATGATAAAAATGCTCCATCAGGAACCACTTTGTCGCTTTTCGAAACAATTCACCATGGAATAATATGAAGGTGTCCACTATAGTAAGTTTCATTTACAGCAAATAGATTGATGGCACCGGCTTTGAAAAGTGCCGTTTATACAAAACTATTCGCTACGCAAAAGAATTCACTATCAAAGGTTTTACTGAGTTTTTTTTTGCTTCTCGTATTCTCATTATTTGTTCTACTACTAGTGGATTGATCATTATTCTACTACAACAAATCTCATATGAGCTTACGAGGGAACATTTTGTCTATCCAATCGATTTTGAGTTTGAACTTGGTGCATTATGTAGATTCTATCGAGATACGAAAAACTGCAAAAGGACAAATACCCTTTGGCCTAGAGCATGGTATACATCAAAAACTTGAAGTACGATATTTCGAGTTGAGATTAAACCTGCATATTGTTCTATTTCTGAATAAAATATCTTTAAAAATTTCAGCTCAAGGTAAAGTTTCTTTGTTGAGATATTTAAGTCCAAAAAAAAACAGAAATATTCTAGCATTTTAGGTGATTTTGAAAGTTCTAATATTTCAGAAAAGAAACGTTATTTTAAGCTGAAACTTTTAAAGATATTTTATTCAGAAATAGAGCAATATGCAGGCTTAATCTCAACTCGAAATATCGTACTTCAATTTTTTGATATGTACCATTCTCTAGGCCAAAAATTGAAGTAAAATACCTAGAAATATTGACAGAAGGCCTAAGGGCATTTGTTCTTTTGCAGTTATTCATATCTCAATAGGGTCTACATAATGCACCAAGTCTAAACTCAAAAGTGATTGGACAGTCAAGAATGTTTTCTCCTTAGTCGACCAATTCAACAATCAATTCTTAGCAATTTTTAATGAACAGCAAAATGACAGATTAGATTTTCAAACTTTTATATACTATCATCTACCGAACGAAAAATATTTGTAGAAGAATCAAACACTAAAGACAAGTCAAGCTCTCATAGATAATCACTTCAAAATTATTCGATCTCTCGATGTGAATATATGCATTGTCATCATTAAATCATGAAAAGAAATTATTTACGTTTTTGTTTTATATTTTATTTATCTAATAATAAATAACACACTCTAACAAAATACTATACAGTAAAATGCAAAACAAATGACTTAGTCTCTGATAAAAGTTTTTCTGACCTTATTTCTTCTGATTTTCAATTGATTTTGTAGCTTCCTTTTGTTCAACATACGGAGCTTCTATTTTCAATTGTCCATCATCAGTTAAATGTGATTGTAATTGATTAATTTGGGTACCAGGTGGTAATGTTGTTGATTTGAAGAAGAAGGATCTTTCTGAATGATTCTTATCTTTATGTTGATGTTCACCTTGAACAATGAGTTCATTGTTTTTCACTGATACTTTTATTTCATCAGGTCGATACTTTTTCATTCCAATTGACATTTCAAGTTGTTTTTGATTATTACCTTTATCAACAATACGTGGTTGAAAATCTGAACCAGCTAAAAATCCAACATAATCAAATAAAGGATCACGATATTGACCAAATTGTGCTAAACTTTGATTATTATTCTTTGCCTGAGCAACACGACGTTCTGTTTCTGGATTATTAATAGGTACTTCAATGACAAGCATATTATTTGGAGTTACATATGAAGCTAAATGTTTTGAATCTATATAAAAATAACAAATCATTTATGAATACAAATGTTTGATAAGAAAAATAAATTATTTTTACTTACCAGCATGTTCAGGTAGTTCATATGTTTTTCTTAGTTCTCGAATATTATAATCACCATCAGGTTGACGATCTTCTTGTTTAGCTTCAACAATTACTTTTCGACCATCGACTTTTGTTTTGATTGTTTCTGGATTAAAACCTGCTACATTCAATTGCACACGATATTTTTCAGCATTTGGTGATCTTGATGTTGGTATAAGACTTTTTCCATCGTTTGATTTATTATTTGATGAATGTGTTAATCGATGTGGTTCATTGATCCATCGAAATGCATTTGGTCGAATAGCAAGAGCTGATGGAAATGTATCAAAATCATACCATGGATCAAAGAAATCTAATTGATCACCAAAGAATCGATCAAATGGATCGTCGAAAAGACGATAATGATGAATTGGAAAGAATGCCATTGATTTATTTGTAGAAGAAGTGTCGGGAGAGTTTGATAATTGCAGTTAAACGTTTGAAATATCTGATTAGACTCGTGCACTCACGCATATATATATAGTAAGAGTGATTGAATACGAGTTCATTGTAGAATATTCGCGAATACTCTTGTTCGATCGTTGTCATTCCAGCTTTTTCCTTTCCTGTTCTTTTCTTCTTTGGTTTGTCGCATATGTTTTTTTCTTTTCTGTTAACACAAGATGATAATGGGCGCGTGCGAAAGAGAAAAAATTGTTTTTTTTTCTTTTTTATTACAATTCGCACTTTTTGTAACCATATTCTATTTTTATCGAAAAATAGTATGGTGTCAGAACTTTTGCATTTTCATCAGTGGTTTATAAAGAGTTGACTTCATGAAAGAGTCAATAGTTAAGTATTCTCTTTAATCAAACTTGACATGATTCTAGATAGTCATTTTAAACAAACTTATATGGTCAAGATTATATGAGCTAGTTATTTATGATTTCCATTAGTTGACAGAAGAAGCTTTTCGTATATATTGGTATGTAACATGAAATCATTTTACGACTATTTGTTGTTGTACAGGTTTATATATAAAGGTTATAGAATGTTTGGGTGTAGATGTAGAAAAACCTTTAACCAACTCTCACACTCATATCCACCTCCTTTTGCAGCTCTCATCCAGTGCTGTCTGTCTAAAAAGAAGGTGGCAACGATTCTACAATCCATGAAGAAGATCATATCGTCAGAACTGACAGTCAATGCATTGTTTATAGGCTTTTGACAATATGGTTTTTGAAAAATTCCGAGGTTTTCTTATTGGAATCAAGTGGTGATTATAAGCATCACGTGATTCTACTTTACGGATAAATCTATTATGGCTAGGTTGATTGACTATCTTGTCGAATACAGTATACAGTTTCCACAAAAACCATTCATGTGAATAGAAAGTGATACACCATTAAAAAGTGAAAAGCAATAATTCTAAGATGGAAATTGTTCCTTAAGTCATTTTTAAATAGGATCGATGGGCACACCAACGGTTCGCCATCCTTTCTTTAGATTACGGCTTTTGACTATCTTATGTGACAACTAAATATTATCTTAGAGCGCTGCACACGTAGTTTTCTCATGTGATAATAAACAGAATTTTTTTATGAGGTAAACAATAGTAGTTAGTAGAAAAGTACGACATAGATGCAAATTTTTGTTCTCGATTCGTATCGATAGTTCAAAATATAAATACGTCTTTGTCGTTGTTTTGATTTAGAAAAAAAAAATAATCCAACATGTCAAGCATTCGCAACTGTCTGTCAGTTTACATTATTCAAATTGTAGAGCCCTGCAAAATTATTAGTTTTCGTACGTGTGTTTGACTCATATTATTACCATTCATAATTGTACCCAAATATGAGTGCAGGTATCCGACCTGTGGCTTGCAGCATTTGTCTTGATAGTAGTATTGTTTTAAATTATTGGTACGAAAAAAAAAAGAACGTTTGAAATAACATCTATCATTAATTACACAATCAGGTCATTTCAATAAATCGAAGTGGAAATATTTGAAGCTTTTATTATAGTGTTATTTGTGACCCATACCCTATAAATCAAAATACAAAATAAAACCCATAGTTTTGTGATGAGTTTTGAGTTTCACAAGCTTTTTAGTATGTACGGGATCATGCATTCTTTGCAACAAGATCAGTCGACAAAAAATGTTTTAGTCCTGATTTCAAGCTCAAATAAACAAATCATTTGCTTCACAAATAGTCCTCAGTAAGACTAGTAAACGTCTGAAATGGTAATGACAAGTGTGCCGCCTTTCTCAA